ATCAAAGTGTCCCCAGATCCCACGCCAAAAAGGACCAAGGTGTCCCCATCCCCTGTGTCCCACCACGAGGAGGACCCAGATGCCCCCTACCCCACCTCAAGAAAGACCGAGGGGTCCCCATCCCCTGTATCCCACCCTAGAGACGACCGAGGTGTCCCCAGATCCCACCCCAGAAAGGACCAAAGTGTCCCCATCTCCCGTATCCCACCCCAGAAATGACCCAGGTGTCCCCATCCCCTGTGTCCCACCACGAGGAGGACCCAGCTGTCCCCCTACCCCATCTCAAGAAGGACCGAGATGTCCCCATCTCCCGTATCCCACCCCAAAGAGGACCAAGGTCTCTCCATCTCCCATATCTCACCCCAGAAACAATCAAGGTGTCCCCAGATCCCATCCCAGAAAGGACCAAGGTGTCCCCATCCCCCGTGTCCCACCACAAGAAAGACCCAGGTGTCTCCCTACCCCATCTCAAGAAGGACCGAGATGTCCCCATCTCCCGTATCCCACCCTAGACACAACCCAGGTGTCCCCAGATCCCCCCAGGGGGAGGACCAAGGTGGCCCCATCTTCTATGTCCCACCACAAGGAAGACCCAGGTGTTCCCATCTCCCGTATCCCACCCCAAAGAGGACCAAGGTGTCTCCATCTCCCCTATCTCACCCCAGAGATGACCAAGGTGTCCCCATACCCCACCCCAAAGAGGACCAAGGTGTCTCCATCTCCCCTATCTCACCCCAGAGATGACCAAGGTGTCCCCATACCCCACCCCAAAGAGGACCAAGGTGTCTCCATCTCCCCTATCTCACCGCAGAGATAATCAAAGTGTCCCCAGATTCCACGCCAAAAAGGACCAAGGTGTCCCCATCCCCTGTGTCCCACCACGAGGAGGACCCAGGTGCCCCCTACCCCACCTCAAGAAAGACCGAGGGGTCCCCATCCCCTGTATCCCACCCTAGAGACGACCGAGGTGTCCCCAGATCCCACCCCAGAAAGGACCAAAGTGTCCCCATCTCCCGTATCCCACCCCAGAAATGACCCAGGTGTCCCCATCCCCTGTGTCCCACCACGAGGAGGACCCAGCTGTCCCCCTACCCCATCTCAAGAAGGACCGAGGTGTCCCCATCTCCCGTATCCCACCCCAAAGAGGACCAAGGTCTCTCCATCTCCCATATCTCACCCCAGAAACAATGAAGATGTCCCCATATCTCACTCCAGAAAGGACCAAGGCGTCCCCGTCCCCTGTGTCCCACCACGACGAAAACCCAGGTGTTCCCATATCCCATCTCAAGAAGGACCAAGGTGTCTCTATCTCCCGCATCCCACCCCAGAGACGACCGAGGTGTCCCCAGATCCCACCCCAAAAAGGACCAAGGTGTCCCCATCCCCTGTGTCCCACCACAAGGAGGACCCAGGTGTCCCTGTACCCCATCCTGAGGAGGTCCGAGGTGTCCCCGTATGCCATATCCCACCCCAAGCAGAACCAAGATGTCTCCATCCCATGTCCCACCCCAGGGAGGACCCGGGCGTCCCTGTCCCCCATATCCCACCCCAAGAAGGAGTCAGGTGTCCCCATACCCCATCTCAAGAAGGACCAAGGTGTCTCCATCTCCTGTGTCCCACCCCAGAGATGACCCAGGTGTCCCCAGATCCCACCACAGGGAGGACCGAGGTGTCCCCATCCCCTGTGTCCCACCACAAGG